TTTTTTTTTTGTCACAACAAAAACTTCCGAAATTACAAATCCGAATCCAAATCATATTATGACTTCTACTTGGCGATTTCCTTTCATGTGAATTCGCGTTCGGACACTCTCGACTTCTATCACTGTATATAGCCAGACTTAAAAAGACTTCTGAAATGTTCTACATTGAAAGACGCCAAATTTTCGAGTATCTAATCCCACCAGTAATATTAGTCACTTGAATATTGTGTGCTCCACGAACAAAGTCACTTTCAAGAAGCCTTTGTAAGTTCTATTCTATTTTTCTTTCTTTGTTTTCACGATTTCCTAAGCCATTGATAAAATTCAATCTATTTTCCTTCAAAGGCCAACACAACACTACACGAGACATTCAAGACAATAATATCACTATACATAACCATCTATTTTACTTACCACTTCGCATTTATGCCTTTGTTCTTAGACTTATTTCTTTTATGAATTAGATTGAAAAGAAAAGGCTAATTTTGGTCAATACGCCAACAACTTTGATAAAATGTGATCATATTTCTCAAGATAGAAAAAGAATCTCAATTTCAGTAAGTTGAAAAACATCAAAGGAAGAAAGCCGAAAATCTTTTCCTCCTCCTCACCCGCTTCCTCTTCCTCCTCTTCTGTAGCCTCCTACTCTTCTATAACCTTCTCCTCCTCCTCCTCCTCCTCTTCTATATCCTCCACCTCTTCCTCCATATCCTCCTCTTCTATATCTTTCTCCTCCTCCTATAACCTTCTCTTCCTCCTCTCCTTCTATATCCTATTCCTTTTTTATATACTTCTCCACTTCCTCCACCTCCTCCTATATCATTCTCCTCCTCATCTTCTATATCCTTCTCCTCCTCCTCATATATCCCTCTCCTCCTCTTTCTCTTCTTCTATAACCTCCTCCTCTTATTCTCTATCCTACTCCTACTCTTCCGCATCTTGTAAAACCTCCTCCTCGTAATCTTCTTTTATATACGTCTCCTCTTCTTCGATATCCTTCTCCTCCTTTTTTTCTATATATTTCTTCTCTTCCCTCATCTCCTCCTCTTCTATATCCTTCTCCTCATCGTTTATATCTTTCTCTTCCTCCTCCTTCTCTTCCATAACTTTCGACTCCTGCTCATATATCCCTCTCCTCCACTTCTTTAGCCTCCTCCTTTTATTCTATATCCTTCTCCTTCTTCACCCCACCAATTTCGTCGTTCTAAACGTAACCTGTGTTTGGTGGCCATTTTCACGAAATCATTTGATCTTCTCGCAATACTTTAAAGCTTCAAGCTCTCATCATTCTGATGTGAAATATCAGAAATGAGACGAAATAAAACAAACCTAGCAACAGATAAATAGTTGTCATCTTTAAATCTTTTTAAAGCTGCCAATGTGTAATTTCTCGACAATATCACAGGTAGGATTAGCTCACCATGTCTGTCAGGTTTACATTAACTGCTAGTAATCAAATAATTTGCAATGCATTCCTATAATTACATTATTTCCAACACATTACTCTCGTAAAACACTACTGTATTTGCTGTTTGACTATTGTTTCGTATCTTTTAAAACAAACCTTATATATATATATATATATATATATATATATATATATATATATATATATAAAGAGAGAGAGAGAGAGAGAAAATTTTATACCACAGAATTTATATATTTTTTCATTAAAAGGAAGCCTTATCATTCAACACCTCTTCAGAAAAATTCATTGGAAATATACAAAAATAAAATAAAATAAATAAACAGTGAAACTGGAAAAGTACATGGTTTTAGTAATAAAATTAATTTTAGCCGTCGGTCTTGTTTACCTATCATGCATTTTTTAGTTTCACCGTTTTGTTTTTGTTGTTTCTTGTTTTTTTTTTATGTTTGTTGTTTTCTATGTTTTTGTTTTTGTTTTTTTCTGTTTTATCAAACGAATCTTTCTGAAGAAGTGTTGGACAAAAAGGGTTCCTTTTAAAGAAAAAGAATGCGCTCCGTCAATTTAAAAAAAAAAAAAAAAAACATACCGTACAACAAAACGGACGTATATCAAAAAGTGCTTGATGCAGATGCCTTGAAAAAGAACATGCGGAGCAAGTAAATATAATAAAGGCGCAAAAACACTTTATGTATCCGTACACAACCTTGGCTTTGACCGCCAGGTCTCTTCAGGTGGCGAGCAATAAATGTTGGTATATCATACTACAGTTATACAACTACGGGAGAAGTTGTCGGCTGTACCAAGAAGAGAAACTGGCTATAGCAACTTATAAGAACATCAATATGTTGTTAAATAGCAGAACTGAAATAAAAATATCCCCGGTCTCTATGACCCCCGGATGAAGAATATTTTTCTACACCTCCTCCCCTTCTCTACATCCGGTGCCATATTTGTATAATTGTACTATGGCTTTATGAACATTTATTGCCCGCCACCTGAAGAGATCTGACGGTCGAAGCCAAGGATGTGTACAGTTGCATAAAGTGTTTTTGCTCCTTCATATATATATATATATATATATATATATGTGTGTGTGTGTGTGTGTGTGTGTGTGAAAATATATAGAAAATAGGAAGGAACTGGTTAGGTAAATAATCCAAAGTCCCTTAGTATTTTAGTTATTATTTTTAAAAAATAGTGCTCGATACAAAAGTAGAGCATAAATAAAATTATTTATTTAAAAATATGATTCCAACTCGCGACATAAGAGGGAAAGGTGGGGGGTGTCTAAATTTGAAACGGAAGATGTATTAACCCTAGTCTGGTATGCGTGTCTACGGAGATTTATTTATTTTTTTATTTTATTTTTTTATGAAAGGGATTTGTGCATATAAAAAAACTACCGTAACGTTTGTTTTTTGACAACTTCATAAAGGGTTATCTTTTTTGTAGGGTATTTTAACTATTTATTTGGGCTATGGATTATGAAAGTTATTATATTGTATGCTTGTTCTTAGCTAATTATTTAAACCATGAATCTGATGATTGGGCTATGGATTAATCAAGTTATTATATTGTATGCTTGTTTTTAGCTAATTATTCAAACCATGAATCTGATGATGTCGACAAAAAACCGTTAACTCATGTCTATTGTTTAATAGATTATTATTATTTAGAAGCTTAATAATGTGCAATTTCTCATGGAGGCACAAAGGGCATGGGTCATCCCAACTTTTACACCTTTCCCTGACTTGACATCTATGAAAGTAACTCTATACTGATACTTATTATTAACACCTAACACACGCCTACACAATTTAAACAATTCGCCCTAGCTGTTACCATGGAAATTTTGATTTCAATTATTAAAACACGTAAATTTCAGAAATACGTTATTCCAAAAAAACATTTCGCTTGAAGATGGAACAGAGCTTACTTTAACTCAATTTAATTCAAATAATTATATTGAAGTTTTCGGCTCTTGTTTTGAAACATGAGACCTCTTATGTCGCGAGTTGGAATCATATTTTTAAATAAATAATTATATATATATATATATAAAGAACGTATAAACATAAAAAATGTCTTAATATATATATATATATAACTCACGCGACAACAATATGTCCAGTATAACCTATCACATAAAATAAATATGCCTCTGCAACACAAGAGAATATCCCTTTTCTATAGACAAAATAGCATCGATATACAATGATGGTACTTGTAACAAAATGCTAGCACAATGCACTTGCAGAGCTATTATTAATAACTAATGAATGCCCATCATAAAATTCTGTAAAATTCTTAATAAAAATCCGGTATCAACAGGTTGTTGCTCATGGCTCTGTAATGACATTATATCGTCTCTGTTATTAAAGGAGGATATTTTCTTGTGTTGGAAGAAGATATATATTTATTTGATAGGTTATTGTAAAGATATTATTGTCACCCCCTGAGTCTTTTTCGATAAGAAGAAAATGTAGTAAGTTATGTACGACACATGGTTCGCCCGAGGGCTAATAGACACCACTGGAGAAATATATTTATGTGATAGGTTGTAATGCATATAATAATGTCGTCGCCTGGGACATTGTCGAACAGGAGGTAGTCCAATGATAGTATTGTCTTGTATGCAACAGGACAAGTGGTAAAGAGTTCCCAGGAGGGGAAATGAAACACGTCTTGTCCCTGCGGCAAATGTACGTTTGAAGAGAAGGTATACCTTGTTTCCTTTTATACTGCTTTTTACAATGCCACCTGTCTGGCGTTTGGAGAAGGCTTTTGGCTAAAAAGGTCGTGTAAACCCACATATATACAGCTGTGACAATGTCGCTTAATAAATAGAATGTATGATGAGAAAATTCAATGCCGGGAGTTAAAAAGATGACCCTGTAAACAAGTATTGAATGGAATAAGCTCAGTAAACTCGAACGTAACTTGAAGTTATGTCGTAGAATGAAAAGAAAAACTGATTCACTTCGCTTGATAAACACATCAGTCACTTGTTCGATAGGACATGTATCCGGTATTTATTTTAGGCATCTCGGTTTCTTTATACAAATCAATAAATATCAACATATAGCATGACCAGTCAGAAAGAAGAATACAAACACACACACACACACACACACACACACACACACACACACACACACACACACACACACACACATATATATATATATATATATATATATATATATATATATATATAGAGAGAGAGAGAGAGAGAGAGAGAGGAGTAGGGGATAGCGGCTCGGATTGAGGAATCGGAGAGCCGAGTACGAATTCCAGTCGAGTCCATTTCATTCACTTACGTGCTAATACTCCGAGGAAAGTTATGAATCCTCCTCTTCTCCCAATCCCCAGCTATGGGTAAATAGCAAGACAGAATGGGTTCTATAGCTTTGGATGGCAACTGTTCTAGGAGAAGGATAACTCTGAATTCAAAACCTGCAGAGGGTCGTTTGAGGACCTCGTGGCACGTAGTGCACCAGGTCTCTGTATTCGGCTCTTTAAAAACTGTGGTTGGTCCTGCACAGAGCCTTCACCACTATAATCAAATCATATGTGCAGGTGTCTGGCTGTCGGATTACAACGGGAGAATACAGCATCTATCTATCTATCTATCTATCTATCTATCTATCTATCTATCTATCTATCTATATATACATCTTCGCTTTCCACTCTCGACAGAGTTCAAAAGCGTTTCCGCATCCTTGTGAGTGACGGATTATTTCACACCCTACAACCCCTTTCTCACAGATGAAACGTCGCCAGCCCTCTCACTGCCCTCTGATTATTTGCATGGAAATTGTTCAGACGGACTACACTCCTTAGTTCCAATAGTCCCGACCGTCACGGCAAGGACCCGCCATACCACGTACATTGTAGAGAACCACCTTCATTCCTTAAGTATTCCTTTGGTGAGATGTAAGTTCCAATCGAGCAGCTGCTTTCCACGAACCATAAACCTTGTGGAACCGACTTCCAAGTGGATGCTTCCTCGCTTGCTACAATCTTAACCTGTTCAAGTTTAGGGATAACCGCTTTTCTCCCACACAAACTTTTCCTCTTACTCTGTTATCCGCTACCTCAAGTGGTTCTTAGAAATTGTACAGTGTGAATATCATCGTAATATATATATATATATATATATATATATATATATATATATATATATATATATATATATATATTTATGATGTAATATAAAAGGCTCAAACACTAATATTACATGGTTATCATTTATTACATTGGAATTGTAATCAATCCAAATCCAACTTATCAAATATATATATATAATATATATATATATATATATATATATATATATATATATATATATATATGGAATCTCTCCCATCGGTTTCGACGTATGAGGATCTGACAGATTATTGATACAGTTATGAAAGTTTGTGCGATAATCTTAAATGGCATTTAAGATCAGCTATTGATTTACAAAGGCGGCCACATATGGAGCAAGTGTGTGGATTGTGAGATGAGATCACTGTTAGATTGGCTGACCTTTTAGATCATGCTCTCGCTTCTTGAAAATGATTCAGACAAGCAGATTGAAAATTGCTGAATATATATATATATATATATATATATATATATATATATATATATATATATATTAGCCTAAAAGCCGCCCCCTACCGAGCGGTATTTAAGCTAGCTACTGCGGAGGGCTATTGACTGGGTATTCATTACATTATAGACAACAATAAACTACAGAAAAACTCAAAAGTGATCGCTGCCTTGCATTAATATTTAAGCTGACCTTTTAAAAGTTCAACGATTATTCTTCTGAAAGCAAATCTATTTAAAGACAATTTGATGTACGTAGTTTTTTTTACTTTCCGTATAAATAATTATTTTTACTTCGTAGGTTACCTTCGCTGAATTTCGTAATTAATTTCGATTATTCCCTAATTTATTTCCAAGTTAAAAAAATTGTTATTGTACAAAAAATATTCGTCACAAAACCTCACGTAAAAATATCGCCGAAAACAATCGCAGTAATGAAAAATTGGAAATCCAATATTTCAGGATTGCCGTTTTGGATCAGTCCTGAATTGTTTTTAATTTGATTATTTAAGGAATAAAGTTGAAATCACGGACAATTTTATTTTGAAACACTGTATTTTCTTTTTATTTGAACATGAGCTATTGAAATTTAGGGAGTTGTGTCTCTTTAGTTGTTTTTATCAGTTTAAGCCAAGATGGCGGAATCCGAAAACAATCGCAGTAATGAAAACTTGAAATACAAAATTTCAGGATTGCGAGTTTGGATCCGGTCCAGAATGTTTTTAATTTGTTCACGGAGTCAGACTGATTCCAATATGGAATAATATTTTGGGTTACAGCCTTTAGGAATAAAGTTGAAAACGCGTGACACAGTGATACACTGACATTAGCATTATTTATTTATTTTATATTATTTTATTTATGTTGTATACTACTACTATTACTATTGTTATTATTATTATCATTATTATTAGTTTAAAATTATGCTGATCGTATTATGGGATGATGATTGCCATTTAAAATGACATGACTTTATTAGCCAAATTGTTGTAAATCTTTAACTTCCGATCCCCCTCTTCCTTCCCTTACCCGTTAACATGTTCAGTCCTTTTAAAGAAAAATGTTTGTAGTTTTTTCTATTTATTTATTTTTGCTATTGGCTGATCATTAATTTATTTCTTCTTTCCTTTCTATCTCTCTCATCTCTTTCTTTCTTGACTTAATTTTAAAAAATTTATATTTGTTTCTTTTTTCTTTCTACCATTTTTATTATTATATTATTTTTCGTTTTACTTTTTCCCTTTATTCTTCTCTCTCTCTCTTTCCGTTTTTTCTTTTTATCCTGGTATGTCTGTCTTGATGGATTGATTCCATATCTTAAAACCTTTCGGTCTGAAGCGATGAATATAACAATATTCATGAAATAAATTATAACCGATATAAATTTTAAAGTGTTTTCTTAATTTTATTATATATATATATATATATATATATATATATATATGTGTGTGTGTGTGTGTGTGTGTGTGTGTGTGTGTGTGTGTGTGTGTGTGTGTGTGTGTGTGTGTTGCTCCATAATTTGCATTGAGGTCTCACTGGATTAATGTCCTCCTTAGAATTGTCCCTAACAATTACAAATTGGTACTATATATATATATATATATATATATATATATATATATATATATATATATATATATATTGCTCATCTATTTTATTCAGGGTAGGCACTGCCTACCTTGCGTACCGAGACGCCACGTCCCTGACATATATATATGAGACAAAGTGTAAAAGCTATAAACGATATGTTTCGCCGAACATCTATTGCTGTCAGCTTCTTCAGGTCAGAATAAAAGACAAAAATGCGCAAGAAAAATGCGTTAGTATGGCTTATTCTCAAAATCACAAAGTAATTTCATTGCAACAGTTTTGTCTTTGTTATATAGGAATAAAGTGTCGCTGCCGACACTGGCATTTGAACACGGATCACCAGAGAGCAAACACAGTCGATCCCATTTTGGATAAGTAGTTTACATGATGGTAAAGGAAATGTATATATGGGAATTAACGTGGCGTGTAAGTGATCACTATTTAGCGGTTACTTTCCGAGCGTGTATTATCGAGCAAGTACTATTAGTGCTATTCGAAGGCGTCTGATACCAGTATTGTTCAACGGCGTTACTATAGTTTTAAATGCTATTACAAAGTCTCTATTACAACGAACATTACAAAAGTGACAACGAATATTCGCTGACATCAAAAAAGTGGAAACGAGTGTTCGTTGACATCACAAAATTCTTTCATTCTGATCTGAAGAAGCCGACACTGACAGATGTTCAGCGAAACACGTCGTTTATAGTTTTTACACTTTGATTATCTCCACTTTTGATTTGATACTATTACCCATCCTATACACACACGCACAAAAACACACACACACATATATATATATATATATATATATAAATATATAATTATTTATTTAAAAATTATAACATAAATATGTTATAAAATCACTACAAAAATAGCCATTTTGTTTAAATACCTCCGATGTCTTATCAAGTGATGAAAGAGGTGTTGAAACAAAATGGCTATTTTTGTAGTGATTTTATAACATATTTATGTTATAATTTTAAATAAATAATTATATCTTCTCTACTCTGTATTGAGCACTCTTTTAAGAATAGTAATTGTTGGTTATTGAATTTATTCCGTATACACCAATCATATACTTGGGTATATATATATATATATATATATATATATATATATATATATATATATATATATATATCTTTTATTACTATAATTAGCGGATGAAAATGTTTGAGTAAATGTTACTTTTAATAAACGGTATAATTTTCGTCTAGCGGCCTGGAAATCTCCTTGCATATACACAGGATTTAAAAAAGGAATGAGATCAAAAGTGACGCGTATGAAAAAAGCGGTCTTTGAAACGAAAACTGAGGAAGAAAACGATGAAGGGTTAGAACGAATTGGAAACGATCAAGAAAAGAAGACGATAATAACAAGGAAGATGACAAAGACGGGAAAGAAGTATGAAACGAATGGGTGAGCGGAAAAAAAGGTTAGAAATCGGAAAAGAAAGAAAAGGAAAGTGTTAGCAACAACAACAACAACAACGAAAGAAATAAAAAGCAACACTCTAATACATCATTTCCGTTCGCACACAATGTGATGGAAAGTCAGTGACGGTGCAAAGGAAGACGATGCAAATTGCTTGTTCCTTCGTAATGGCGTCGGCGTCCGGTCAGAAACAAATCAAGTTGGCGCGGCAAAACAAGGATAATTAGTAAAGGTGAAAGAAAGCGGGGGAAAATGGTAAAAGGATGATCAGGAGAATCTAGCGTTCTGTTTCTTTCACTCTCTTGCTTACTTTAAAAACGGAAGCAGCAACGGTTCGCTTATTGTTTTAACTGTTATTGTTGTTGTTGTTGTAATGTTGATGTGTGAGGACTTTCTTAATTTATCTGGCCTTGTTTGTTTATTTATAGTTGTTGTATCAGTTCCGCCGCAGCTGCCTGATCATGTTAATTTAACCTGTCTTTATATGATGTTATATGATGTTATTTTGTTGTTATCCTTCTTCTTCTTCTTCTTCTTCTTATTATTATTATTATTATTATTATTATTGTTGTTGTTGTTGTTGTTGTTGTTTATGTTGCTGCAAGTTTTTTTTTTTTTTTTTTTTTTTTTTTTTTTGCTTGTTTTCAGAAGCGCCAAAAGCGGATATGGCCGGCGGATCCCAGACAGAGAAGGTTTTTTATAATCTCTTGGAGATGTGATTTTATATCGCCCATCCCCAGCACATTTTTTTTCGTTAGCTAAATAGTTTTATGTGGAGATATATTTAATGGTAAAAGGCAACGAAAAATTATTGATGTCAATAAAAGAGACGAAGTGGAAAAAGTATCTTTAGCGTAAATTTTTCGATATTTTATTGCGAAATTTAAATGCAGGACAATTTTACGGTTTCATTCAGTATTTTTTCCTTACTTATAATTGTTTATGAGGGGCACCTCGACCTGGTATAATGGTTAGAAAGCTTGTCTTGCTAGATCAATTACGACTGAGTAGTGAGTTCGATCCTCACTGGGTACCCCATACTTTCGGCCTTGTGCCACATCTAAGCCGGGCTTAGAAAATCACAATA